TGCAAATTTCATCCTCGATATTCATATAAAATACATTCTTATAAAAAAGAAAGAGTGTATGCATGTTGACATTTAGAGAGCGGTTTTCAATTGGTCGTCGTAAAACCGAAACCAAAGCTAATTAGAATTGGTTGCAAATACATGTAACAGCGTGTGGGCCAAACCGAAAACAACGCTACAAAGCCCAGTGTCTTGCTATCCTCTCAACAACTATAAATTTCTGTAAAGGATACAAAGCTTCAGTTCTAAAAATTTGATGTTAATGCGAGGTAAATAGCTGACTTAGCTCAGTTTTTCTCTTCATTCGATTGACTGGCAGCTGACTTGAGGCGCGGTAATAGGAAATTTGCTGCTAATCACGGTGATAAATTAAGCCATGTCGGAATCATTTCGACTGAAGCCTTTTGATCACTTATTTCAGCAGTGAGCTTGAGCAGTTGTCTAGCATATGCTGAGAAATTATACAAACGAAGAGCTAACAATAACACAAACCGACATCAATGTTGCGCACATTGACAAACGCAAAATATGGTCATTGATTTGCGTGTCGGCACGTGTGGAATAATTTATTTCTGAAGTATTATTGTAGATGATAGTGCAACTTGTAATGTTAAGTGAAATGTAATTAGATTTTAAGTTTCAACAGTTACTATTAATGAACACACAGGATATAAAATAATTATAGTAAAATACTGTAGAAAAAGGGAGAAGCCTCCACAACTAATTGTGAGCATTTAGAAAGTCCACAAATCAAGCTATTGACTATTTTACACGACTAGATAGAGTAGCTGGTGAAAGCGACATTGTTATTTCCTTCTTTAAATTTGTTGTCATGAGTAGGTGTATTGTAGATTTTGTTGCATTTTATTGTACTTTTAAATGTAATTTTTGTCATAATCCAATTACAAATTTTATCATGACTTTTTTATTTGGATAATTAACAACTACAAGCCCCACTGAGGAGTTTTGAAAAAAAATTATTGTATAAGGTACAAAACCAAAGCTAACGAGAATTCGTGGCAAGTACCAGTGGTGGATCCAGACCTTGAGCTATGGGGNGAGGGACGTTTTGCTTTTTACCTCTCCTGCCGACTTTTCTTCCCTTTGCAATGTTTTTGGTGTTTTTTTTTTTACCCAAAATAGGAGGGGGGGGGGGATAGGTGGGCCCCTCCCCTAGATCCGCCACTGAATGTACATGTAATAGCGTGCGAGCGAAGCCGAAAAGGATGCCAGTAAGCCAAGTGTCTTATTCTCGTCTCAACAGTGCGTTTCTTTATTAATTTCCCTAAAGGACACAAAGCTTAAGTTCTAAAAGTTTGATGTTAACATATGAGAGATAAATAATCGATGACTTTTCTTATTCTAATCGCTTGATCTATTGACTTGAGGTGCGGTAATAGGAGTTTAGCTGCATGACTACATAGAGTAGTTGGTCAAAGCTGTAAATTTGTTCTTGCAATGGGTCGGTTTATTGTAGATTTTGTACTTTCCTTACTGTAATTTTTATCATAATCCAATTGCAATTTTTCTCATGACTTCTTATTTTAGATAATTAACGACGACAAGGAGCTTATAGATATAATTCGCACATGTATTTAATCAGCTCAAAAAGAGCACTATTTATATTTTAAGTGGGTGGTGTACTATATTTCATAATGTGAAATGAAGTGCATCTTCGAATAAATGTTAAAACTTGATAGTGCTCGTTTCTAAATAGAATTTTCTGTGTACTGTTAAAGCACACCCATCCTTTTTGTAGACATTCCTACCCAAACTTTACCATAATACTGGAGATCAAGTATATTTCGAAGGAAAGGTTTTTTTTTTTTCGAAGACGCACTTTTTACCCTCAGTCTCCTCCACTTTCCCCCCCTCCCTCACTATCACCAATTAGCATCGTTCTTTTTCAAGGAAAATCAGTTATTGTTATGACTGCTCTTGCACCGCCTTCCTCCCTGAAAAGATGATTTAGTGAAATTAGAAAACGTGTTAGGATACCACTCAGTGGTCCGTTTTGGTACCTCATGGAGCTAAATATAACTGAAGGACAACAGGGGTAAGCAGCGTAGGAAACCTCCTGAAATATACGAAGGAAGTATAATGATTCCTCCTTTCGATTAAGAAAAAAGCTCTGCTGACCTAAGTTTAAAATTCCTACATGCAAGTACAGTACTCCTCCCCTTTAATTTCTAAACTTTCCTATCCCCCCACCCTCACGATAATACAGGAGATCATCATGTTTTGCGATCTCGAAGACGCACTAGAAATCGTAAATTCATTTACTCTTGGTTCTTTGTTTTGATTGGTCGTTCCTGCCACTAAATTTTGACACATGGTAGCTCGAAAACGAAATTTACCCTGTTTGTTTGTATTTCACAATACCAGGGGTTTTTCCCCCTTTTGATTTTGTTTTCACGCTTCCAAAGGTCGAGAAACAATATTGAACCTTCTTGTCATCACTGGGTAGTTTTAAATACAGGTCTATCACGTTATGACTGCACTATCGTAACGTGAAATCAAAAAGTCTTTCTACAGTTATCACCGCAGGTCACATTTTTCTTAGTAATACGTGCGCGTGCGACTTGAATTAATCATTTATACACAAGAGCATTCACCCGAAATTTAATTAACTTCATTTCCCATTTCCAAACGACACTTGGACAAGCATTGTCCACTTCGTATTCTTACTACTGTCATTTACATCGCTATCTCCGAGTCGCTCCTTTTGCTCCATTTTGCTCCATTTGTTTTATGCCGAGTATCATGTATTAGCAAGTAATATACTCAATATTGTAAACTATACCGATTATGGCGCAACTAAAAATGGTTTCCGGGAAAACCGGAACTTATTTTGTTAATAAAAAAGAATTCTTTTCTGCTTGCGTAATAAAGGAGATGGATCAAAACAAAGTTGTTTTTTTCCTGGAAGACGCGCTGTAAATAGTACGTGGTTTTTCCTGATTGGGCGAAACTTGGGTGGCTAGATAATGAAAAAGTCCCTAGGTCCAAAGGGGTTTTTCCCGTTTTCAATTTCGTTTGTTGACAAACGATATACGAGCTTCACAGCATTTTATACACGTCAGCTACATCCCCTTAACACGTGATCAACCTGTATATAGGTCTCGATCACGCAGTCCCTCTTGTCTCTTGTCGTAGGGGCTGCTGTTGTTATACTTCTCCACTGTTCAAAGCTTCACTAGGCGGTTTCATAATTCACACCAGAAGTTGCTCGATTCACACCTGAACTTGAAAAGCACACAACACCAATCTGAGATGATTCCTCAAGGCGTCATGGACTTCCGCTTTCGTTTCAGCGTTGTTTTGATCTTGGGTTTCTTGCTAACGTCTCCAACACAAGTATCCAGTGAGGCAAAAAGCTGCGCTGCTGTAACACTGGCCTGGAATGGCTTCGAGGCAAAACTTCCCCTGGGTAAGGATCCACAGTTTGTGCGCAACCTTGCCGACTGCTTGAATGAAGTCAAGAAACCAGACAGTGAAATTCTAGGCATCATACAACAGCTACCGAAGGTGATAGATAAAGTACTTCCCGAAGCATGGACAGAAGGATTGGTTCTGCTGTCTATGTATTTCCTTTACAAGAGCTTCTTATTGTACGACGAGGCAAAGATCTTGGAGGTAAACGCAATGATCTACCGCGATAAGTTTGAGGCGTTGGAGAAAGAAATGAAACCGTTCAGAAACTTCATAGACACCGAGCTTATTCCACAGTGGGAAGCAGGTAACACTGCTAACTTGGAAAAGATCGCCGAGGAGTTGCTGAAAAAGATTGGTCGCCACTCTGTGAGACTCCAAGAGTTGACTCAAGCCATTCGCCAGGATATCAAAACGGGCGGAAGCAATCAAAGGTGGTCCCCTTATGTTGCTGCTGGCGGATTTTTCCTCTGCTTGGGTTCGGTTATAGTTCGTCCAGCTCCTAACGTGGCCACTCCTCCATCTAGTGGTGTTCTCGGTGATGCTAGCTTCAGTGGGGTGAGCATTCCTATATGTATTGTTGCTATCGGTACTGCCGGTTACAGCTGGTTGAGCTACAGTTCTCTTAGCGACTCTACCCTTCCGGAATTGGAGAGGCTGGAAAAGGACGCGACTACCATGGGCCAAGAAATAACGAGGTATCAGTCACAACTAAAATTGATCTCGCTAAAATGAGAGGTGAACTCTAAATCTACTGATTAACCCTTTATACTGCCCCTTCAAGCCAGCTGGTCAACACTGAAATTCTCTCTAATGTTTCCGTACAGTCATTAGAGTACTTGTTAGGAGAATTGCTTTTATATTATCTCGGTAATTTCCCAATAATGAACATTACCTAAATCTTTGACCTATCATTGATTATGCACTCTTTTTTTTTTATATAAGAATATTGTTTTTCCGGCTGAGGCTGAATATTCTTATTTTTCTCCCGATTTTAGGCTTGTGAATATTCTTAGATTATAGCGTATGCATTCATAATTTGCATTTTTATTATTCCGCAATTTCACGCATTTTTATTCATCGACGACTAGTTCAGGCAGTCGAAAGCTTGTAATTTTTCAATCGTTTCAGCCCGAGATCGTTTTAAGTTTTTACCATGTTTTATCCTGGCTGCGCCCCTTCAATATTTTCACACACAAAAAAATATTCCTTTCAAAATCTCAGCCTCGGGTTTTTTAAAATATTCTTAACATTCTGCAAATTTCATCCTCGATATTCATATAAAATACATTCTTATAAAAAAGAAAGAGTGTATGCATGTTGACATTTAGAGAGCGGTTTTCAATTGGTCGTCGTAAAACCGAAACCAAAGCTAATTAGAATTGGTTGCAAATACATGTAACAGCGTGTGGGCCAAACCGAAAACAACGCTACAAAGCCCAGTGTCTTGCTATCCTCTCAACAACTATAAATTTCTGTAAAGGATACAAAGCTTCAGTTCTAAAAATTTGATGTTAATGCGAGGTAAATAGCTGACTTAGCTCAGTTTTTCTCTTCATTCGATTGACTGGCAGCTGACTTGAGGCGCGGTAATAGGAAATTTGCTGCT